AATTGCCATTCGGTTGCAGGTGCCCAAGATCTCCTTCAAGCCAGAAAAGGTGCCGGTGTCCCCCACCCTGGCATCTACAATGTCCGAAGATGGGAAGCCGTATGAACCAGTATGGACCTCTCAAATACATCCAAAATTATCCAAAATTGACCATTTGACGTATGATTGTTGGCATTTGGTGACCAATCTTAAATTTGACATGTTTGGATCAAGGCGTCACCGATGTTTGGACGTAACCGTCGTAATCAGATGAGTTCCGAATGAGCTTTCTACACTAATCCCAAAGCCTTGTTGGAGCAAGACTCAACTGGTACTCGGAGTTCGTGGTCATTCTTTGGTCTAAACGATGTTTGAGGATGTTTGAGGTTTGGTTGATGCCAGTGGTTAAAATCTCAAAAGGTAGACCAGTTTGGTAGAGCTTCAACTTTTGGTTGATGTTTCATGATGTTCGTCCCACAAAGCGTTTGCCATGCAGGGAAATCTTGGAACCAGCCAATAGCCCCCCATTCAGGTGAAGGCACTCTGGTGGCCTTCTAGACAGCACTATGTGAAGTACGAGCCGGAGTTCAGCTTTGAGGCCTGGAAGCTTGATGAATCGAAAGTTGTGAGTTGTGGGTCCTGAATCCTGGAAGGATCTTAATTTTTGCCACTATCCAGGAAGGGGCTCAGGAGTTCAGGTCATGTTGCTACGCTTATTCTTTGCAAAAAGAGGCGAGGCTTTGTCCGAAAGTTATCCTCAAATTGTGATTATGATTACGGTTTTATTCAGTGCTTATCATCATTTTGATACCAACAAAATTCCTTTTTTTGGGTATGCCGATGTACATGTACACCGAACGTACACCGAATGTACCGTTGAAACATTCGCAGGAAGCACCTGAGTGGAAGCCGGAGGACCGCCGCAGTGTACAACGAGGCGTCCCATGAAGATCATGAAGTTCTCTCTATGAAAATCAAGATGTTTTGGTCCCTTTGGAAGCCAATGTTTGAAGCTGGGAGATGTGTAAGGTTGGGTATCTAAGGTCTCCAAACAGTATTATATATACAATGTAGTACTTCCTTTGTTCACACTTCCACTGCACATTTTGGCAATTGAGGGGAGAGAGAATTGTGCCACTAGACCAATCGAATGCAGAGTCTAGTCTAGCTTGCAATATCGTGAAGGAGCCAGTCAAGTACTTCTTGTGGGTGACATGGGACAAATGTACAAGTTTGCCTTCAACACCCTGAACACTCGAACTCAAGGAATCCTTGCCGTTGCTTAAACTCGATAAAATCGAACACAAAAACCCTACTTGAAAATGTTTATCATGTTCTTTCGATCGTATGTGTAACTAATTTTGTACCGGTGGCTATTTGTCAACATCTGCATCTATGTGCATCTGCAGGATATTCTGAAGGGCTATGGCATCAGGCCGCAGCATCGCTGAGCAATGCGAAGTTTCAGTTGCAGGCCTTGTTGATATTTGTTGATTTGACAGCTGAAATCATAGAGAAATCATGGAGCAAAGGTGCTAAGATGATGTAAGATGTCGATGTAACGATATGCTTCTCATTCGAACAACAAATTAAATCTAGATCAACCTGGCCCATGCGAGCAGTCAGCACTTTCACGGGCCAGATGATTCCTTGAAAAGGATATCGTCAAAGGTCCACCCATGTAACCCGACAATATGCCACAAAAATATACAAAAATAAAAATCCAATAAGTATATATATATATATACAGATATGTATAACTCCTACCCTTGTAGACTGTGGGGTGTCAGAGTGTGGCGTGTAGAGTCTGGAGTGTAGAGTGTGGAGTGTAAAGGAGTCTGAAGTGTGGAGACTGGAATGCTCAGTGGAAAGTGTAGACAGCGAAGTGGAGTGTAGAGTCTGGGGTATGGAATGTGGAATGGGAAAATGGGGAGCGTGGAATATAAAATATAATGAAATTAAGAATATTTAGGAATATTTGGAAAATAAGAAAATAGGAAGGGAAATTAAGACCCGAAAATTATAATTTTATTAATCTTTTATGTTTCCTATTAATATTTGTATATATATATATTTAATAATTAATTTAATTTATAATATACCAAAAATAATCTTTAAAATTAATATATTAATTAATTATATAAATATCCGGCAAAATTATTAATATTTGAAATTAATAAAAAATTATTTTGAATTTTGTTTGTTTTATTTTTTTTTAATAATCGATAAGAAATAATTTAATTAATATATTCTTATAATAATTTGGAATATATTTTTTAAAAATAATAATTATAAATAGGATTATAAAAAATTATTTTAATTATTTTTTTTTTGGAATATATAAAATATATTAATATTTTATGTTTATTGATTTTTTAATCGATATTTTAATATTTTTTTTTTGGAAAATACTAAAAATATTTATATTTTATTTTTATTAATTTTCTAATTAATATTAATCGATATATATTTTAATTTATAATTATGTTTATTTACCGAAATTATGCCTTATATATTATTATTTTTATTATTTTTTTTCTTATTATTATTTTTCTTTTTCTTATTATTCTTATTACCTCTCTTATTATTGATATTCTTATTATTAATACGATTATTATTATTATCTTTATTATTATTTCTATATATATTTTTATTATTATTTTATATTATTATATTTTATTAAATTATGATCGATAGGATACGACTTAATTTTGTTCGTAATAATTATGGGTAATGAAT